GCGCGGAGTGAGGCTTCTCCACCCCGCACAACATGATCCATTCGACCACCATTCATGGTTACCGCCAAAAAATCACCAGAGGCAAAAAACAAAACCGGTAGCCTGGTTGCCGAGTTCACGAGGTGAATTGGCTTGTTTCACAACGTCGTTGCCAAGCGATGAAAATCCAACCCCGATGGCAATCACGGGGGGGGCGGGTGTACTCATACTCTCATGGTCGTGCATGCCGTAGTCGTTAGACCATTGACCTCGCATCCCTACAAAGCCGGGACGGAGCACGCCGGGTTCTCACCGGACCAGGCTCTCACATCACCAAGCGCGAAGCGCCGTGAGATATTCGGCGAGTCGCATGAAGGGTGCGCTGCATCCTGCTAAGGGTGTTCGGCATCTTGTGCTTACTTCCTTGCATACGGATGACAGCTGTGTATGACTTATGTTATTTTCTGGCGCTTCACTTCCAGAGACAGTTGTTAGCTCTGTGTAACTGCCTCAAGGGTGCTTGACCATTTAAACACAACGTGGTGCGATCATTCCCCTTGCGCGGAGCGGGTTCTTCACCCCGCACAACATTATCTACTCGACCACCATTCATTATGGTCACCGCCAAAAAAAAATAACTGGAGGTAAAAAAAATGGTAACCTGGTTGCCGAGTTCACGAAGTGAATTGGCTTGTTTTACAACGTCTTTGCCAAGCGACGAAAACCCAATCCCGATGGCAAACACCGGGGGGGGCGGCTTGTTTTACAACGTCGTTGCCAAGCGACGAAAACCCAACCCCGATGGCAAACACCGAAGGGGGGGAGGTGGCTTGTTTTACAACATCTTTGCCAAGCGACGAAAGCCCAACCCCGGTGGCAAACACCGGGGGGGGCGGCTTGTTTTACAACGTCGTTGCCAAGCGACGGAAACCCAACCCCGATGGCAAACACCGAAGGGGGGGAGGTGGCTTGTTTTACAACATCTTTGCCAAGCGACGAAAGCCCAACCCCGGTGGCAAACACCGGGGGGGGCGGCTTGTTTTACAACGTCGTTGCCGCGCGTTGGGGGAGGGTAGATGAAGTTTGGTGTTGGGGTGGAGGCGGCGTACCGACGCAGGGAATGGTGGAGTTGCGACTAGGAATGCCAGCGCTTGGTTAGAGGACGAATGGAATGCATGTGGTTTCTGGCCGCAAGGTGGTGCAGGAGGCCACGGGCTAGGGGGTGCACACACCCGCGCAGAACCCTTGGACACAAATCCGCATTCGTATTCGGCCTCCAACGCCACTTATTTCACGAGACATGTAATAAGCTGGTACGGGTATCAGCAGCATGGGTCCGCGTATTTTCTCCGATAGTGCACTGGGCACCAACTCCACGAAGTCGCGCGTTTGCATTCCCGAGTGGATTGAACTTTTCCGTGAGCACAGAAAAACGCGCGCTACGGACAAGCTGCTGCACTCAGCTCCGTAACTTTTCGAAGAAAAGCTCCCAGTTCGCCGCTCCGTGATGTGCTCCAATGGGGTTCGCTCGTAAGGGTATGCTACCCTCGGATAGAAGGATCCGCTCCGTGAACGTAACCGACAAGACGAGAACGGTTTGGCCTACTCGGCGACGTTTCATCATAAGAAATAAACGCTGAGGCAACCAGCACTCCCTCACAACTGTTAGTACAAAACCAATGCACGAGGTGATCTACTTCATGAAAGACTGTGAAATCTTTCAAG